TATATATATATATATTTGTATTATACTATATATAGTATAATATAATTTACTATTTTTATTATACTATATTATAGTATAATAAAATTATAATTAATATTAATAAACTATATTAATAATAAATATAATAAACTATATTATAGTATATTAAATTTTTTATATTATACTATAATATATATATATATGGGGCATTCCACGCCAAATCGGACGGTTTAAAAAAATTTTATTTTTGATTTCCGCCATTTTTTGATATCTTTTAGTATACACCGAAAAACCCTTTCTCCTAAATTTTGTCATTTTTTTGATCATCCGTTCCAAAGATATCGAATTTTCAAAAAAACAGCTCTCTCTGTGGTTTTTAGCCCGTAACTTTTTTAAAACTCATCCAAATAAAAATTACCATTCTACATAAAAGTTTAGTTTTTCAATGTACTTTCCGAAATTTTAATTTCTCAAAAAATCACGAAAATAAATTGACTTTTCCTATTTTTGTTAATTATTAATCTAAATCAGTAATTAAGACTTTCCTACGCTTGTTATAATAAAAAAAAAATATGTAAAGTGTTTCAAAATACATTAAAAGAGAGAAATAAATGACAAAATTTAATAAAATTAAAAAAAAATTTTTTTTCAATTTTTAAAACTCGAAAAAAAAATAGTAGTTATCGAAGGTCCACGACCAGACCGGCCTAAAAAGTTGTGGAATTAGTAGTTGTTTATTGTAAAAAATTTTAAAGAAAATCAAAATATGCACTCACTTTAAAAAATGCAATTTAAAGTTTAAAAATCAAAAATTACGTATTAAGACACTTTAAATAATTTTTTTGAATTTTTTTTCGTAAAGTACATTGAAAAACAAAACTTTTATGTAGAATAGTAATTTTTATTTGGATGAGTTTTAAAAAAGTTACGGGCTAAAAGACACAGAAAGAGCTGTTTTTTTGAAAATTCGATATCTTTGGAACGGATGATCAAAAAAATGACAAAATTTAGGAGGAAATGTTTTTCGATGGGTACTAAAAGATATCAAAACATGGCGGAAATTAAAAATAAACATTTTTAAAACCTTCCGATGTGGCATGGAATGCCCCATATATTTATATATATATTTTTTAAATTTAGAAGATTTCGAGACAATCAAGTGATTAGACATAAAAATTGAAAACAAAATTCGAAAAGGAGAATTAGAGTTGCTTTGATCTGTGAACCTATTTCATATATTAAATTCATCATTCTAGTCATGAGTATAATAAAATTTAAATAATCTACTCATTTACTTTGTTGTTTATTTCAGGCATCTATGGATCTACCACCGGATAAAGCAAAACTTTTGAAACAGTACGATAACGAAAAAAAGTGGGACATCATATGTGATCAGGTGAGTATATGATGCATTGATGAATAATAAATAAATCAAAATTGACAATTATTGTGGAAAATGCATAACAAAAATAGCCAGGAGAGAGTTTGAAATTTGCAACAGGTGGTATTCTTTCATTCAAGATTATTTTTATATAGGCCACTTTTGCGCGTAATAGAAACATCAATTTTAATATTCTTGTTTAGAATACAAATTTGTTGATGTAATTCTTTCCTTATTCTTGATGAAAAAACAAACACGATTGACTGCATAATTTGATTTTATGCGTGTAATAACACACATTAAATATAATAGCACTGTACGATAAGATTTCTCGTTAAAAAACATTGTTAGTAAAAAAAATCCATATTTTGAGTAGTGGTATTTGTAGCTGAACTTTCTCCGATTGACCAATAATCATTGATGTGAGAAAGGAAGAATCCTGCCAGTTTTGACTCATGAATTGAACCCAGCAAGAATACAAATTCCAGGAGCATTTTGATAGACTGTCTTTGTAACACTATGGATTTGGAGTTTCTAAGGTATACCATCCGATTTGCCAAATTGCATAATTTCGCGTATCGCAGACCAAAATCTTCTGTTTTCTCCAACTTTTGCATCTTTGTTTCTTTTTTTATCTTCCCTATTATTGGTTCAATATTGTCAATAATATCTAACCCTACTTTTTCACTATGCCCAAGCCCATCAAAAGACATGACTTTGGGAAGTAAGTTGAAAGTGGTGTTAACATTCTGTGTAGTATACCAAGACATATTCAAATTCAAAATTCAATTTATTTTCGGAGATATAGCTGTTTTAGTGACGCGGAATCCTATATCCTACCCTTATTAAGCGAAACTTTGAAAGCGTTTTTCTCGAAACTGTTTTTTTTTCATAAATGTCAAGATATCTCAAGTTCTACTAAACTGATTTGTTTGAAATTTGGTTAGAATCTTCTCTATGCATTACTCTATTGTGCAAACTAAAACCTTACAAAATTTTCAATTTTTACTATATTTAAAAAATTCGGAAAAGTAAAAAAAGTGGTAAAAATAATGTATCTTTTTTTCAAACAGTTGTAATTTAGCGAAAAAAAAACTTTTTTCAATTCTTTTAGTTCAAACGATAGCGGCATTATTCTTAAATAATAATCCGTTTTAATTTTTTATTTCATATTACCAGGAGAGCTGCAATCTTGAAATTTGTCGCGCGCCGTTTTTTTGGGACCCATCACTTAATCAGCCTATATGTTTTTCAATTTTGAATTTTTTCAATATTTTTTTTTTCCATGTATTCTTGAAATATTAGTGAATATCTTGTAACATTATAGATAGTGAAAATATTATTCGTCTTTTTGTTATTATACTTGAAAAAGTACCTAAAATTCATGCCTCTAGACCAGAGTACCCCCTTAAGAGAATAGTGAACTATGCGGTCGTCTACTAAAATACATTATATTATAAAATGTGAGCATTCTGTTATTCGTTTCTAATGAAATGATATGTAAAATAGATATAATATAATTAATACCATAAATTTGATTAATTTGCGTTAGTAATTGACCATGTATGTCAACTTCTAGAAACAATCAGAATGATACGATTGTGTAGTTGACCCCTCGGTCAATTAAGTTTTTAATATTGGAATGCAAAAACAATGTGTTTAATGAATAAGAAATTTAATGGCGATTAAAATAGTAAAAATTCCAGGCATAAAGAGTCAAAAGCTAAGAAATTACTTATCGTCAACTATGCACCTCTTCTTAAGGGACCATCTCAGTATAATCGGCCAAAAAATTGTCAATTTTCGTGATTTTTTTCGGATGGATAGAAGGAGGGGATCGGGATGTTTTTTTTTTCGAATAAGATCACTCTTTAACAATACAAAAATATTTTTTTCATTCGTTTTTATTTATTTTTACTTATTGTTAATAATTATTTTAAAAAGTAAGTAAAAAAAGTGGGGGAAATCGGTGTCAACGATTGTGATCGCTGTTTGCATCTCAAAGAAAAAAATCAAATTGAGGTGACATCGTTTGTAAAAAGGGCATTTTGAAAAAAACGCGTTAAAAGTTTAGCGCGCGTCAATTTACACTCCAATCTCTTTTTCCAAGAAAGGTTGTAGCGACCGTAATAATTCGAATTTAAATTTGAAAATTTTACAGAACACGCACAACTATATGTACTTCAAGATAAGACAAAAAAATCGATTTTTTTTTAATTTTATACTGAGATGGTCCCTTAACGAAAGCGTTAAGAAAGTTACAGTGTGGAGGAATACGAGTGTCGTTACTACGTACAGCCTATATCTTTTTCAATTTTGAATTTTTTTACTATTTTTTTTTCATGTATTCTTGAAATATTAGTAAATATCTTGTAACATTATAGATAGTGAAACTATTATTCGTCTTTTTGTTATTGCATTTGAAAAAGTACCTAAAATTCATGCCTCTAGACCAGAATACCCCCTTAAACGTTGAGTAGTTTCGGAATCCATAAAAAACCAACAATTTGACACTGATTTTTTATATAATACTAGAGGTGCCCCGCCACGCGTTGCTGTGGCTCATAATCAGTCCGATATACACGTCTTTAAGTCAACGAATTACTTTATACCGTCATCTGTTAGAATCTTATCGAACTAACAGAGATAATCATGACTCTTTGTTAATAAACAAATAATTTGCAATAAAATAATATTGCGATTATAAATTGAGATATAAACTATCCTATCTTTCAAGTTGGATGAAACTGCACACAGTGTGCAACATTTTATTAAAATCGGTTCAGTAGTTTAGGAGTCCATTGCAGACAAACAACGTGACACGTAATTTATATATATTAAGATAAGATAAAGTTTTTCATTTTTAAGTATAATGTATTACAAAAGAATTATTTTATAAGATTATAAGTAAATTATTATAAAATCAGGGTTACTTAATATCTATTTATATAGGTATTAAGTCATAGATTAAAAATTTAGTTTCTTTTTAGTGCTGATTTTTGAATTATACTCTAATAATAGAAATTCGTTTGGTATATTCAAATTGAGTTCTAAACGTACGAAAATCGTTCAAATATGACCGTATTTAAATTCCTTTACGTAGCTTTATGAGAATTATAATTATCAATATCGTTCTATTTATTCTTATCTTCTCCTTCTTTCTTCCAAATAGGCACAATGCCTGTTCCTCATCGCGACTCGCTTCATATAGTAAGATTATCGCTCCAGCATTTTCGAGATCTTCCAATGCTTCGTCTTCCCGATGGTGACTTATCTCGGGATATTTTGACTATTCGGTCATCTGTCATGCGTGTAATGTGGCAACTTTTCTGCCTAATATCCAGTCGTTGATATTCTCGATCTGGCATGCTTTCCTAAGGCCTTTGCTTTTTACCCTGTCCCATAGTGATTTCCCAGCTATTCTGCGAACTATCTTCATCTCAGCTGTTTCCATGATTTTGCGTGTTTTTGATGTTTCGGGTCTTGTTTCTGCCGCGTATGTCAGTATAGGCCTTATAGCAGTTTTGTATATACGAGCTTTTGTATCTGTTCTTAGATGTTTGTTTCGGAATATGGTGTCATTTAATTGTGAGGCTGTTTTTGTTGCCTTGATGGCTTGTCCTCTTACTTCTAACTCTATGTCATCAAAGGGGCATTTTCACGTGAAGCGGACAACGAAAAAAATTTGAGGTCGTGGATTTTGTTCATAATTAGCTTGATTGTACTTCTATGGGACCTCAATAATTGTATATTATTATTTTGTTTTTTTTTACCTTAGTTACCAATTTATGGGGCTTCAAAGAATTGACAAAATATGAGGAATAGATTTTTCGAATACTATTAAAAGAGTCAATCTAATGGATTATATAAGAAATAAATCGTGTTTATTAGAGAATATAAATGAATTTTCTTGGAAGTAAATAAAAATTTGAAATTGAACCTTTTTTTCGTCTAGTAAACCGGAAGTTAAAATTAAAAATGTGAATTTATTAACCCTTAAAGTGCACATGGGGCGTTTGACATCCCAACAAATTTTTGATCTCTCGAAAACGGTACTGAATTCGAAAAAATGGGTTATGTGTCGCTATCTAGTGTTAATTCAGATCATTAACTATAACTATTCTATTTTAAAAAAGATGTATCAAAGCACTTTGAAAAAAATTGCGAGGTTTAAATATTAAATAGCGGCTTCAGGAGACGCGTTCAAACACGTTGGAGTGTCAAACACCCACAGTGCACTTTAACGTAATTTTACCAAGTGTGCACTTTAAGGGTTAAACTTCGCATATTTTATTTTTTTTATTTTTACCTTAAAAAATAGCTTGTAGTGTAGAAATATTATGCAAAAAAAATTATAATGGTACCTCGATTCGTTTAGAAGATATGAACTAAACAGTATGAAGGTTCCGTATGGCGCGCTGTACTGAGCGGTTCCTCAGGGCTGTTGGCTCACTCGCTACTTACAGTTTACAGTTTATTGTAACTAATGAATTATACACTTAGAAACCGCCCAAAGCTTGAAATTTGTATACCTAAGTAATTGAACTCCATCACTTGATGTACAGGTAACCCTCCTATAACACGGTAGATAGGCTCCTAGAAAATGTCGTGTTGTATGAGACCGAGAGCTAATGTAAAAAGGGAGGTTACGTTCCGAAATCTTATTAAAAATAAATATTCTTTTTGGTTTAAATAAACTACTTAATTTTTATTAAAAATATAAATGTACGTATAATACAGAACAAAAAATATTATCTTAATTTAACGTAACTTTAATTTAATTTATTTCTTCGTCGTCACTGCTCAATTAATTCTACCGAGAACGTTTTTTTGGTGGAATGATATCGCCTTCACTTTCAGAACATTTTTCTTCATTTAAAGTTCTTGCATCTTCTTTCCTCTTTAAAAAATCTGTAATTTTACTTTGCTTGTTGTTTCTTACTAGGTCATTGTAAATTTTTCGATATGGAGCTACACAGTTTTGATGCTCCCTTTTGAATATTCGGCTTTTTTTCTGCGGAAGGGTCTGCATTCAAGAAAAATGACTCGAGATTTTCAGCTAAGCTTAGGCCTTCTTGTAATATTTTTAATGTTAACTTATTAACAGCACAATCTTCATCAGTGCTAGTGTCCTCAGGATCAATTTGATTTATAGTTTCGGATACCATTTCCATTAAATTCGCTTCGTCAACTTCTTCTTCCACTAATAAACCTTGAACTTCCTCAATAGCCATATCCACAAAACCTTCGCCTCCGATTGATTTAGCAAGTTCTAATCTGTTACCAATTTCATTTTGTGACGATTCACGCACGTTTTCTATTTCAACTGAAGAGGGCCATATCTTTTTCCAACACGCATTTAACGTTGATGTTTTCAGTACATAGCAGCGTGAGACACTTTTGTTTTCAGGCCATGAAGATGAAAAAAATACTTTCCCCAACACTGTATCTTTAAAACGGCAAGCCTCGCCGCGACTGTAGAAGTACAGTAATGTACAAAGGTTTCTTGAAAGGAAACCGTTTTATAGAATGCCGTGTTATAGGAGGATTTTTCGTAATTTGTGAAACGTATTATGAGATACCGTGTTGTAGGATGGCTACATGTATTATCTTGTCATCAACAACCAATTTACATCTTAGAGGTGTTTTAGATGTAGTCATGCACTTAGTCTTGGATGTTGATATGGTCATCCGGGTGTTTTAGCAACTGTGTTAAACGTATACAGGAGCCTTTGCAGGTCATCCTCATTTTCCGCTATCAGGACTGCATCATCGGCGTAGCACGAGATTTTTATCTCACAGTTCCCTATTCGATATCATCTGTTTTTTTTTTATTTATTCTTATAAATTTTATTATTTTTATAAATATTATTTTTATTAGTTTCATATGACTTTAAAATCGCATACCGATGTCTTTATATTTTTTCTGTTTAATTTAAGGGGCCCGGCAACCCAAATTGTTCAAGAAATAGGTTTATTCTGAAACAATTTATAAACTCAAAAATATAAAACGAAATAAGTTTATTTTCAAACACCTACGGTTTCAGAAATGCCTCAAATAAATTTTTGACAAAAATATTTAAATATGGCGACGCTACAGATATTCCCGTGGAGGTTTTTTACACGACACTACTGTCATAACTGGCTGGAAGGTGTATTACCGTTATGTGACATCTGAGAAAAGAATCAGCTTATTTGTAAATAGTGTTATTACCATGCAGCGTATAAATTTTTTCGATTATCAGAGAATTCATAAAATAGAGATTTTTTTCTTCGGTTCACCATAAATTCCTCGATAGTCGAATAAAAATCTGCATGTTGTATTATAGTAACAATATAAATGAATAGTTTAATTTTTATACTTTAAATGCAACACGACAATGATACACTTCATTTGCAACTAGCTACGCGTGGGTATCGTGCAGAGACTTCCATGGGAATATCTGCATCGCCACTATTTTTAAATAATTTTGTTAAATATTTATTTATGGCATTCCTCAAGCTGTATTTTTCGAAAATGAACATATTTCATTTTAAAATTTCGAATTTATGAATTTATTTAGAATATATCCATTTTTTGAACGAGCTAGGGGTGACTAGACCTCTTAAGGGGTAATACCACTTTAGAGCCTGAAAAAAAGCCTTTTTTGGGAATTGTTTTTGCGAAAACTAAATGAGGAATAGAATTTCTTTTTTGAGGGTTGGTTAATCATATATTGAACTATGTAAACAGATATTTTTATTGATTTTAAATAGAAAATGGCGTCGATATTCGTGACTGAACAAAACCCTGTTTTTTTTTTTTTTTTTTTTTTTTTTAAACGGGCGGACTTATACCTGGACAACTATAAGACCTAGAATAAAAAATAAAAGNGAAAATGGCGTCGGTATTCGTGACTGAACAAAACCCTGTTTTTTTTTTCTTTGTTTTGCTAAAATGAGCGGACTCATACCTGGACAACTATAAGACCTAGAATAAAAAACAAAAGCAATTCTTAATCTATGTACTATTATCTTGAGAAGTACATACGGATTTTTCCCTAAGTCAAATTTTGTGAAAATGGCGTAACTTTGAATAAAAAAATCGACTTTTCGACGAAAAAAAATGTAGAACATTGTTTATAAAATTAAAAGTTTACATTCAATTAATAATCGGATATGTAGAAAATACAACTATCAAACTATTTTCAAAATTTCAAGTCAGTCGGTTAAATGATGTTTGAGTTCTGAGTCCGGCTAGTTTTAAAAATGTAGTTTCGAGAAAAACGCATTTAAAGTTTTGTTATCACTATTCGAGGCGCTTTAAGACGCTTCGTAAAAATAAGATTTCGCCATGTTAAAAAATTTTTTTTGCTTCGGGACCAAGTGCATAATGTTTTTCTAAAAACATTGTCTAAAGTACGCTTTAAGCTAAAAAACAAAAAATCGATTTTTTGAAAATTCTATAGTGATGTTACCCCATAATTTTGTCCCTTAACACTTAGCCGACCGCTCGGGTAGATCTACCTTTTTTATCTGAGGAACGCTTCTTTCTCTATAGAGCTTATTTATATAGGGTACAACATATAATAAAATGCATCAATTTTTGAAATTTTTTATTGCTCATTATTACGGCTCTTTATTTTCGGGATTTCCAATGGAGTCTTTGCCAGCCATAAAATTATTTTCTAGAATACTACTTCAGTGGAGAGCGCAGTTTGGCCTTTCCGAGCTCGGTGAAAACTACAAAGGTCTCTGTGGGGCATTTGGTCGGCTAAATGTTAATATAACGTACACGAATTGCTTTTTAATCACACTTTGGTAACACACACACACACATACACACAAGATAGATTTTTTATAGCTATTATTAACTCTAACTGGATATATCGGAATAAATATATTTTGGGAAATTGTTAATTCGTTGTTAATTTGTATTTAAAAGTTGATAATACGTTATCGTGTTCAAAGATGTTCCGTAAGGAAGATATAGATTATAGAAAGTTTTATAACAAAATATTACATATAAAAGTTGGTATAAATATGTATGAGTAGTAACAAAGTATTGTAATCAAGTCCATTATTGAGCCAAACTGGCTGTAAATGAAATAAATATTAATCTATCTATTTAAAGGTTGATATTTGTTGGTTTCACATTATATAAATTTGATTATAGTCAAGAACGAAATTTAGATTTCGATGAGATTAAGGCAGTACTACAGATTAATTATTACTTGCATTCAATTGAAAAAAATTGAAACCAATTATGGTTTAATGCCGACGATACATGTAAATGCCTAAATTTTGACCGTTTTTCAGAGGCTTATTTAAAATGGAAGAAATAAATGAATCGTTTTGAAACTCAGCATGTTTATTCATTACATATTAAAATATAAGAATCTGATTTTTTATTTTTTTTTTCAAAATGGCCGCCGTAGTAACCAATCTCCTGAGGCCCTCGCGGCGGAAGGCATCAATCATGGTGATTTTTATCTTTAGTTACAGCAATCTAAAATTAAAAAAAAGGGTCAGAGCGTGTTCATAAAATATGTATCTTCTTGTTGAACTAAGGAAAAACTAAAAAGTCAAAAAATCGTAAATTGGCACGACTCAGACAAAAAAATCTGATTTTTGACCCTTTTTTTCAACGGTTTTTGGGTCAAAAATGGCAATTTTTGAAAATTTTTGTGGCATTCTTAAAATTCAACTAGAAGCTAATACTATAAAGAAAATGTGTGCTAAATTTCATAAGAATCGGTTAAAACTTTTTTGAGTTATCTTGCATGCCAGTTTGAAAAAAGTCGTTTCGAGAAAAACGCGTTTAAAGTTTAGCGTTTCCGTCTAGCGCCGAGTTGAGGCGGATCACTTAAATGAATTTTTAATCGATAAATGATGTGAATTTCATTCTAAAAATTTACAGGCATATTTTTAAGATAGTAAACTAACTATTTATGAAAAAAAAAATTCGATTTTTTTTTTATTTTACATGTATCGCCGGCCTTAAGCAGTTATATAAATTTATTGGTAGGTTTAGTGCTAAATTTGTTTGTAGTTCATTGTTTATTTTTTATGCTTTTGTTTCCTTCAAAAGAAACAATAAATGACAAAGAAAAGAAAAAATAATTAGTTAGTGCTTAATTGGCACTTGTATTGTTTCTACAAAAGGTGACATAGGATACCAGTTTTTAACACTATTATCAACTATTTGTAAAAGGAAAATGTATTTCAATTCTATATTACAATATTCTTATTGGTATGTAGAACAACATTTTCTTGCATTTATACTATTTAACATTTGTTGCACTTTTCGATCATTATTCGTTATATAATATGAAAATTTTTGTATTGATTACAGGAAAGGGTGCAAGCGAAAGATCCACCATCACATTACTTGGCAAAATTGCGTACATACTTAGATCCAAAAGCGTCAAGAAGTCATCGAGTATGTTTGTTTTAAGTTTTGTTTTCTTCTTTTAGTCTTTTCACTTTTAATTATAATTTTCCTCTTTACCATTTGATTGCTTTATTTAAAAATTATTAACAAATAATTAGTATTATTTAATCAACGTACAAATTATATGTACGTCAAAAGCGAGATGTTGTTTCAAACTTTTTTGTCGTTTTGATAACAAAAATACGTTTTGGTTCTACTCAAGTTCATATTTATGTCAGAACAAGCTACTTTTATCAGACGGATACTAATGACTACCACAGTCGTATCGTTTCCTTACATTCTTCCAGAAAAGAAAAATGGTGGGAGAGTCAACGTCGACCCAAGTACTTCGGGATTTGGAAATCTCCTTGCGCACGAATCACATAGAGTAAGAAAAGATAAATGTTTTATATTATCGAGCGATAATTATGGTCAACGCTTTCAGATAATTTATCTATCTCATAATAAGTTGGATTATTATCAGGAAGTATAAATTACATCCTGTAGTAAATGATGAAAAAAAAAACCTTGCATGTAATTATCTATTTATAAATGAGAAAGAAATATATAAAGATAATTTCGATATTTAACATAAAATGCATGAATTTTTTTTAAAACTATTAAAATTATTTGAATATAAAAAATAAATAGTTAAAAAATCAGCATTTTCCAATTTTCTGGGTTCAATTAAAATCAATTAACACGTTCGTCGCCCAGCCCGTTTCGGTTGAGTTTCTCGCCAGGCCCAAAATTCGACTATCGGCGCGCCTACGTAACGTAAAGAAGCGATAAGTAGAAATATAATCAATACGATCTGAGTATTATGGTTATATTATATTATTATATTTTATTTACCGAAAATAATAAAATATAAAAATATTGTTTATTTATCGAAAATAATAAAATATAAAAATATCTTTTATTTACCGAAAATAATTTTGTTTCGAAATAGGAAACGTGATAAGTTTTTCCAACTAAAAATACTATAACTTCAACAAGAAGAGCGTCACCGTATACGGTGACGGGGG